AATGATAATATAATACCTATTGTTATAAACACAAAAGACTTCTCAGCTAGTATGTTAATTTTTTAAGAACAAATTATAGTATAATGTTTCATAAATTCCATTAATCTATAACTGTTAAAACGGTTTTTAAAAAATCTATATTGTGGTGTAAAATAATTTTGAAAATAAAAAGGAAACAATCAAAACAATATTGTTTAAGGACGTTGTCAAAAAATACTTTGTTGATGAAATATTTCAATCAATTTGTAGGTACTTGGCTATAACATTAACATCCCAAATAATTTGGATCTTTATAAATCTATCCCTACAATTTAATTTTATTATCCTAATCGTCACGACAACCATTGATTTAGTAGTCTATTTACTTAATAGTAATAATAGTAGTAGGATCTTTCACAACCGGGATGATTGTAGGCTGCTTTTTTTCTGAGTCACCATTTTAACCGATGATTACTTTAATAAAATCACTGTAAAATGAAGATAGTAATAATATTGGCCGTATCGCTATAACAAGAATGTAATAGTTTTAAAGTTTTATAACTTTGAAATACCATCATTCTGATTTCATCTTTAATTGCAATAAATTATAATTTACATTAAGTTTTTGACTTCTTTACTAAATTAATATGCTATTCAAAGATGCATGCATAATATATTGATAAATAATTATTATCCATACATACACATGGTTTCATTGAAAGTAATACTAGTTTCGTCATTGCTGATGTTACTTCTAAAACATAGGTTTCTATATCATCATAAGAAAAATAAAACAGCCTATTGTGTAAACTTTTATAATTTTTAAACATATATAACTCCAAAAATTCTGAAGTACATACGTTTGATGAAAGGTTTCTTCAATCATACCAACAATTCACTACTATTCAATAATAATTAGTTTAATTATTCTAAAATTAAAAATGATGCTGTCATAATTATCAAATATTTTTACACTTGAAAACAATGCATATAAAAAATATTAATAAATTGTTATGAATGAATGTTGTGATATTTTTTTTCATTAAATCACAATTATTACTGTTTTCTATTATTATTTGTAGGCCTTAAAAAACTAAAATAAGTGTAAAAATACATTTTTTTTAATGTATTATTTTAGTAATTTTTGTCATAAATGATGAAATGGTAAGATAAAAGTTATAAAAACAACTAACGTTGATTTTATAGTAAGTTACCAATTTAACGTTAAAAATTAATTTTGTTTTTTATTTGTTTAGACTTCTGCACTTAATAACAGACAACATTAAAGAACTTGTAGCAGATGATATTTCAAAAAAAAATATTTGTATTAACAAAGCAAAATAATAATCTTTGTTAAATATTAATTATGTCATACTAAAAAATAAAATATATGTATAAATATTTTATATTTGGAATCATTATTTTGCACTCCTAAAACTAAAAAAATGGAGGAAGTAGGTAAGTAAGTTAAGCTAAGTTAAGCTAAGATACCGTCTTTTAGCTTATATTACAAATATATATTTTTAATATTTAGTTATTAAGATTTAACTAAAATCGTTATTTATTCTATCTAATTTTGTCCTAATTTGAACTTAAAATATCTGTAGCAGAAAACATTGTGTTTATGTATTTTCAGAATTGTTGGTTCCAGTATGAACTACTAAGTAGTCTTATGAAAAACCTTTCATTAAATTGTCAAGCCTTAGCTATAAAAATGGAATGATAGATTTTTAACTAAAAAATAATTAAAAAGAACATCGTAATATTGGAAAATTTTGTCAAACTTCAAAGTCTTATAAAATAATTATTGTGCCACGTATCTTGAATATTTTAAAATAACTACAATAAACTCCACATTTTTAAGTTTTTTTTTATCGATTTTTAATTTTTTTTAATGTGATAGTCTATAAATAGCTCAAAATAAGTCAAATCACACCATGTATAAAAAAATACAAATATAAACTAAACATTTTGTGAAATTTAGCAGTACCTACAGTTGTTCATTAATAAACAAATTGATTTAACCTAAAACTAGATAGTTTTGTTAGTCTGTGTAAAAAGTCTCGTTTTTTCTTAGTTATTTTTTTTGTTTTTCTGAATTAAAAAATAATGGCAACATTAAAAATTAACCTCCTGAAAGTACATTTCAGAACCAATTTCCTATCAGAAATCTTTTTTTATGTTTAAGTATTCGAAATGCACACAAAAAAACATATTGTAAAATCAATACAGGCTTAACTCGGAATCTAAAATAAGTTTTTAGCTAAACAATTTAATTTATAGAAAATTGGACAGTAAAATTGGGAATAGGAAATTTTGATAACAAAGACTACCAATGGATAAAAATAAAATTACATATAAAAATGTTTACCATCATTTAAATTGAAATTTAATTTAATAAGTTGGCACTGAAAAATCGTCTAAAGATTTAAACTAATAATTATCGTCAAATCAAAAACGTTACGTACCTATATAATATATTATGAGTAATGTCAATAAAAAATTTTTTATTCAATATGTTAATATTATTGAATATCAATGTCGTAAATCCAAACAACAATTTGAAACATAATTCTGATTTATTCTAAATTAAATTTCCATTTAAAAATATTTATACTGTATATTAAATCGAATTTAGTAACTGTAACTTATAAAATAAATGTTTAGTTGATGCTTTTCAGATCATACATTGGATTTAGTTCAGGTTTTTTAAATCGTTGAATTTGAATTAAAGTGGAACGGATAAATTTAGGTTGGCAAGTCAAAGGGCTTTATATGTCAGTCTAGATACGTACAAATTACAGGGTTTATATACACATCGATTACGGATTCCCTGGCGCTCTTATTACTTTAACTTGTTTTTAAGATGTATATTTATATAATCTAGATATGGTAAATATTGTTTAATGCAAATAAAATATTTAAAAATAAATATTTAAAGAAAAACAACGTGAATTTCATAAAGATTGTAAACTATTTTTGAATGTAAACTGTAATATAAACGGGAATAGGTAAATATTTCAAACAATTATTGTATGTATTAAACTATTAAAGACATACATTGTATACTTAATCCAAAATCTTGTAAGTCAATAAAAATATTAATAAATTGATTATATTCAGTGTACAATACTATATATTTAATAGTTACATATTTTTGAACCTATATGCTTGATCGCAATTACTTTCTGACTTTGATTCTCAACTTAAATTCGAGGAAAGTTCACGTAAAAATTAGATTGTTAAAAAAAATAAATACAACGAGGTTACATATGTACTAATTGACTCTGTTTCTTAGAAGATAGTATTCCAAACGAAAAATATAACATTTTAATACTCTAGCAGAATATAACCAGAAGTCACTCGAGGAAAAAAGAACAAAATATTATGTAAAACATAGCGCTGTAAAATATAAATAGGTGAATATCAGTATTAGTGAAAGTACCTACCTCAGTTCACGGGAAAATAAGCGTTGGTCAACTAATTCTAAAATAATCTTTACAAACTTATTTGATCGAGATATGAGCAATTGGAAACAACACTTGTTATATTTTCAAAAGTGGTTAAAACTATCATCTTAACTGATCAGCTCTTTAACAACAGTAATGTCCTATAGTAGGTTTACCAAATGGGCTGTATTATTGTGGTTTTTTTAATAACTCAATCGATTAACCGAAATTCAAGTACCTAGGTACCTAAGACAAATATCTAGTTCTAGGTATACTAGTTCCCTGACACCTGGTAGGTACGTGGTACTGGGTATACGATTGACATTTCTCGCTAAGACGTTAAGAACATATGCAATCCCCTTTTGTGTCGTTCTGTGGAGAAAAGTTATTCCAAATTTTTTGTGATTTGAATTTTTCCAATTACCTCTTTATAATACCATAGTTGTAGATGACGCGATATTTTTTAAAAGGTTTTTTCTCATCATCAAATCGGTGGACGTTCAGAACACTCTATTTCCATATTGAAAACCGTCAAGTCACACATAGTCACATATTACATATAAATCACATACTGTGAAAGATTTTTTTTCGCAGATGTTAGAGCATATTATCATCCGAAACGGACGAATCGCATATTGACGGGGTGCAACTAGTTGCAAAACCCATCGCAGCCGCGTCATTAACAGACAACGCAGTCTTTTTTCCCCTGCTCGCGGGTCAAAATCAACAGTTGTAAAATATATGAACAAAGCTGCTGTGGGGTGAAAAATGGAAAAATAACTCACGAAATGTGTAGTAAATAGTAATCTCTGTCAGCAGTAGCTGTTAACTAAATAATCACTGCAAAGAAAAAAAGCAATAATGGTCTTAAAATTAAAATATCGGTGGATATTTATTTTTTACGTCTTATTTTATTGCCGATCTCAGTGTTACTACTGGGTGATTTCTCTGCTCATGTATTAATTTGAATTATATTTATTACGCACATATTATGCTTATTGTTAAAACCAATATAGATTTTATGTATATTTTAATATATGTTAAATAAAAAATATTATTGCCAACGATATGAATAACCTTTTGGTTTTAAAACTGATGAGATGAAGACTCATTAAATAATCTAATGGTTTTAATGTTTTTTTATATTACGTTTGAAATACTCACATAGCATTATTATTTAAGTATTACACGTAAAGTTTAATATGTCATGTGTTTAATAGAAAAAGTACAAAACAGTTAAAAAACGATTCTGCATAATGAAGTCGAAATAGGGAGCACATAGTAATATTATTATGAATTATTTAATTAAAACTATGAAGGTACACTTGTTAAAGTTTCTTGGACTTTTTTCTTGGTTTCTTTGGTATGGTCGCTTTCGGGGATCGGGAAAAATTTTAAATATATTCTGGAAGTCTAAATAACGACTTTAACCCGAGGGTTTCCATAAACTAGATACGCGCGATGTCAAACATTTACAGGGAGATGCACTTGTAGCCCTTGGTGTTATATTACCGCTGAAAACGTCGGCTGAAAAATTAAAAAAATTAAATCGAAATACTACTAAACACTGACCTGCAATGATCAGGTAGACGATGAGCAGATACGGGAGTATTCCCATGTCCCATTCAGCGGCGGCGGTTGCGGTGGCGCGCACGACCCGTCCTCGTCGTCGACGTCCCGTCTCCTATCAACAACAGGACGTGTTGTGGCCAACAATGATCAGTGGTTCCTTCTGACGACCGTTGTCCTGTCGTCGCTGACGGCCGTATACCAGCTGCTGGTCGCCGAGTCCGTCGCCGGTGTTTTGGCGCCGATGGGTGTCCGCGGGACGGTGGCCGACCGTCGCGTCCATTTTAACGGCGGCGGCGGTGGACCGGAACAGTGCCGTCTGCGATCGGTGTGGCACGTGCCGGAAAAAAATGGGGACGCCAAAACCTCGCAGCGGCCCTGCAGAGAGCGGCGGCGGCGAGCGTCCGCGACCGGTCAACGGATGGGCGCCGGTTTCCGAGGTGAAGACAGCTCGTGTGATACGACGGCAGACGGCGGACGACGACGTCTTGGCCACGGAAACGATAGAATATTTTATTCGATGACCATGTAACAATAATAATATTATATCGATGAGCTGTTTTCGTGACGGTATTGCGACAGCGGTAACCGCGGTGCGACTGTGTACGAAAACCTGTCCCTATGTACTCGGTGGAACGTCTTTGGCGCTCGCCGCCACACACACACACACACACACACACACACACACACACTCACACCAACACACACGCGCACGCACGCGCGAGCTTTTTATCTCTCTCGCTCTCTCTGACACACACACTCACACACACATACACACACACACACACACACACACACACACACACGCGTCCAAGTCGCCACTACCACAACACTGCCGTTCCAACCGCCGGCTGGCTGCTCCCAACGCTGGTCCTGCCGCTGCTGCCGTCGTTGTCGGTGGTGCTGATGGTGCGTACCGCTAGCTTTCGCCCTGCCGTCAAGCGAGCGGGCGAGCGCGCGCGCGCAACTTTCCACGGCAGTCCAAACCCCGCCCTGTACCGCCCGCGTATACTACCTCTATATTTGCACACCGTAAGCGCGCGCCCGTTTTCGCCGTTTCTGCCCGGGCGGCGCGTGCACCACCGCGTTTTGTATTACGCCGGGCGGCGGCGGCGGGACGACGACGGCAACGGCTACGGCGGTGTTGGCGGCGACGACGACGACGACGACGACGACGACGACGACGCGCTCGCTGGCTATCTGCTGTGTGCTGGCGCGCGCATACACACACACACACGCGCGCACACACACACGTACACACACACACACACACACACGCACACACACACACACACGCACACACGCACACACGCTCGTTGTCGCTATATCGCCTTCGACTCGTCCCGTCGACCAGCCGGTTACGTAGCTCTGGCACTCTCGCGCTACTCGTCGCGATTCCGGACGGTGCATGCGCCAAAGCTCCCGGTCAGAATGCCGCACACCCGCGCCAAATACGATAATTACCATCACACACACACACACACACGCGCGTATATCACCGCGTGACCACCAGGGTCGGAGTGATAGTGTGAGTGAGAGAGAGAGAGAGAGAGAGAGACTGGAGAAGGAGTAAGAGAGCGAGACGGGGTGATGCAGTGGTGAGAGGGCGAGTGAGAGAGATGGTGGAGAGAGGGCAGATAGTGAGCGAGAGAGTGTGAGAGGGGAGGAAAACTTTTCTGTGGAATATTTTCCGAATGTGTATGCGTGTGTCGGTCAAAGGGGTTAGGGTAACGATGGTGGTGGCTGGCTACAGCGGCGTTGACGACGGAATGTAGCGCAGCATATATACGCATTAAACGACCCCGAAATTATTTTACGCGTACACCACCGCCGCAGTGGTCGCGCAAAGTCCTGGCTACGAAAGCATATATAATATAACATACACACCGTGTAGGTATAATAATAATTTGGATTTCGTACAAGGGCGCTCACTCAGAACATTATAACATTATTTTATAATATGACTGGGCTGATAAACTGTTGCTGCAATATTATGTATAACTGAAGTTATTATTATTATTATAATAATATTATTCGTTATAACAAAGTAGGTACCTACAATTAAAAATTATTATCATATTATATATATATAAGTTCAGAAGTACCTCTGGAGTCGGGACGGACAGAAAATATACTCGGTATACCTACCTAAGGTACATTAATATATGATAAAGATTAAAAAATATGTAAAAACCGTAGCACGCTATCTACTTAATATTATTCTTCCGCAAGGAAAACATATGAAGCATGATTATGTTTTCGGGGAAGTGAACACTATTTATGGATTATTTTTAAGACATTGGTAATAATTACAAACTGACTTTTTTTCTTCATATCATTTCATCAATGCTCGTCGTAGACATATATTGTGTCAACATATACATAGTTGTACAATGATAGCGATCTACTTATCTCGTCAACTGCGGTAACATTTATAAATGTAATACGGCGAATAAATAATAAAGATAGAAAAATATGTAAAAAAATACGTCCAGGTCTAGAGGGGCTCGGCTGTGGCTAGATTACCGAACACATGCCATTTAAACATCACGTCCGTCGCTTTGCCCACGATATCGTTTATTTATAATACCATCAGATCACCCGGCAACCGGTGTTGATAGACGACACGTCTTCCCTGGGGGGAAACTTTTTCCACAGCGGTCGATGGCGATACGAGCTTTGACGTGATATTGGATTATCGCGCAGCCGTCTCATCCTTCCTCGCGTGTTCGCCGCCGCCGTTTCATTTTATATTAGTTTTATTTTTACGATAACAATAATTTAGTAACAGCGTGCATATAATATTAAATATAGTGTGGCTTCGTATCGTTTCTATACTGCTACGCGGGATTACAATAATAATGCCACCTCATTCGCTACCGTTTTACTCTAAAAAATTGTTGAAAAAACAAAAAAATATGGGTAAGACGTGAGTTCCGTTGTCGAGTAAGTTTTTTATTCGTCTAATAAAAATCTGCTACTTATGGTAGATACTGGTATTCAATTAGTTTTAACTTTGAAGCAACACTTTAGATAACGTAGACACTCATAACACGACGCCTATCGATTGATTACATGTATTACACCTTGCTCTGCTGCAAATATAGGTACCGTCAATAAAATTGCAAAAATCGTGATGATATTACCGATATGAGTATAATGTCCACGAAATTAGTTAATGCACATTCATCAAAAATATCTTAATGTTATTATTACATAATACTTTGTTAATGTAACATATTTTATTTCTCCTAATATCCTTCGTGCTCATTCGGTAATTCAATAGTTTGAGTTGTGTAATGAGTGTATATGCATTTATGACGTCATATTTGCACATTCATGGTAATTTGTTTTAAGGGACTGGCTATAATTAAATCTACAGCTATCGCTCGAAAGTAAAAAAACGGTGGGTCTATTATGAGAATTTTTACAAATCATGTAATTTACTAGCTGAGAAAAAAATTAGATGACTCGAGTACTTCAGTGAGCATTTTTCTGGGTTTATTATTTGAAAGCATCATTCGGAAAAGTTTGGTCGCCGGTCGTTATAGAACCCAAGTTTATATATGAATATTTTTATGAATATAAAAAAGTATATATTTTCTAAATATTTTTTGTTTACGCTTACTTTTTTCTTTCTTATCTTCAATTGAAATAACAAATACATATTCTTGAAAGTTAAAATCTAAAAAGAAAAATCATAGACTACCAATGCTGAAAAACTGCACCTTGGCGTAAAAAAGTAATTAGATAAAAACACATGTATGTCCTGACATACCTAAAAATAGATGAATATAAAATAATTCGTTGTTTAGTAATAATATAACATCATAATCAAACATTACTGAAATAATTAACTGCAAGATATTGCTCTTTTTTTGATAAATTTCGATGTGTAATATTTATTATAATTTTTTTAACTCTAGGTTTACAATTTTTTTTCATTTGTTTGAAATAAGTATACCAATTATTAAAATAAATCATATTTATTACAATAAAAAAATGTATTGAATTTGATAAAAATAATTAGCTTACAATGGTAACTGTTATCTGCAGTATGATTCAATAAATACAATTTTCTAATGATAATATTACTTAATAAATAAACGTTCCATATTTTCTTATAATACCAATCATAATTCAATGATTCAATTTCACTTATTTAAATAAGGCACACACATTTCAAAGATTGTTATTATGTCAAATTAAATGTATTTGTTCCCCAGTGTTGTTTTTGTTGTTTTTTTCTTCGATTTTTGCGAAAAGTTTTTGGGTATAGAGAAGTGCTCAAAAAGTTTCATGTAGCATGTTTATAGATCATAAATTATTAATATATTACTTCTAAAAGGATATTTTTCGAGTTTCTTTTTCAAAAGTAACTCTTAACAAAGCACAAATCTACCAATCTCCGTCAAATAATTTTTAAGAAATGTCAGTAAATAAGATTTGCACCAAAGATCAATAATTAGAATCTGTTTTTTTAAATTCTATAATTTATTATTGTTTTTAAATGTCACACCAAAACGTACCATAATTTCCCACAGAGACAAGTTAAATACCCGGGAACTGTGTCCTATTTGTCATTTTAATCGATTTTCTTAATGTTTTGTTCATAATGCACCGTATACACTTTTATATGATTTTTAGTTTTTCTTTCCAAGTCATTAAGTGCACGACAAAAAAATAAAAGCTTAATATGCAAATCGTAGTTTTATGGAATCATATTTGAAACATTACCAATTTGAAATGTATTGCACGAAACCCTTCTTTTTTTATATAATTTTCAAATATGTTCTCAGCTGAAAATGCATACAAGTAATAGTGTTAGAAATTATCTAATATATTTTGTTGGCCAAAGCAAAACAAAAGCATAAATTAAGCATGAATGTAAAAGTTTCATTGTAAGAAAATTTTATTAGATCGAAAAAAAACCTTTTATGCAAAAGTTTTTTTTAAGCATAATAATATAAAGATTACAGCTATGTAGTGGTACACACGTATAATGTTAAAGATGCAATTTGACACTATTTTTTTTTTTTTTGAAAATGGGAAATTTTGAATAAAATTAGATTTGAGAAATCAAAAATAAAATTCAGCGTGTTTATTAATCTTGTTAACAGATAAATTCAACGTTTTATTAATTTATTATATTTATTGTATTGTAGCTCGTTGTTCGATAACGTGATGTGCAAAATATTGTTCTATTACACGAGAGCGAACAACAATACAATTAAAATATTATTCACTATACTTCTTATTTGGATCATATAATCTATACTTAAGTGTTGTGCTCGCCACTTAATGTATGATTTCGTATAATTTTGGTCATATCTGTTTTAATGTTGAGTTAATATTATGTTGGACCCAACAGCTACCAAAATAGAGTTCGGTTTTTATTGGTATACCTATTACAAAGTTTCTGGTAAAAAGCACCTAAAGAAATGTACGGTTTACTATAATATGTGATGTGAAATTGTTAGTGTTCTATCGTTCTACAAGTCGACTTCGTTATAGCTATTTTTTGGGAAGACAAATCACAAATAGTTATCTCTATTCTCCGGCATCCACTCTTAACACTACCCTCACTTATAACTCAATTGCGTACACATATAAACTTTTTAATGATGATAGTCGTTACAAGTCGTTTTGTTGACAGTTCGTTAGAGTGCTATTATCATATTATTATATCCACGAATTTAACCTCGAAGTTTCTTATTGATCGAAATATTAGTTGTTATACATTAAATTGTCTCATAGATTTTAAAAACTCAACTTGAGTTTGAATTGATGTGATCGGCTATTGAAAACATTTAAAGAACGAACCCACTAGATATTTAATTCAAATTTTCAATAGAATTGGAAGTCCCATACGTCAAACGAGAAAGTTCATAATATGCTGAACTAAGAAGTTCATCGCAGGCTGCACAGCTATATTGATAATAATTATTAAACTACATTTAAACGTAATCAAATTAGCATTTTAGTTGCTGATATGATTTCGAAATGGTAAGTTGGCAACATTTTTATAGTTTACCTATTATCTATGTTAAGTTAGACATAATACTTTGATGAGCTTACGTCAGCTACAAAACTATTGAATGATTGTTGTAGTGAAGC